GAAGGGGGTTTAGAAGTTTATTTTTGGTGTGGATAAAAGAGAAAAAAATTGCAGGAGAAAATCTTTTGACTTCGATTATTTTTGAAAAGGTAGCGTTGCATGAAAATTTGGTAAAGAAATTGCCTGCAAAAAGTGGTGAGTGAGTTAATTTAAGGCCCCCAAAAGGGTGGTTTGAGAGAATTAAAAAACCGTACTGGAAAAAAAAGGGGTAAAGGGATGGTGAGGCGCCAGTTCGGACCACAAAGGGGGTGAAAAATAGTGCATGAATTCCAGAGTAATAGAGGGTGAAGGGGCGAAACCCGAAAAAGTGTTCAGTTGTGATAAACAGGCCCCCTTTTGGCAAAAAATGCCAAAGAGGACCTTCATTTAAAAGGAAAGGCAATGCCAGGGCACAAGGCCTATATAGACAGGCTGCGTAATGTTCTTGCAATGCTAGTGGGGGTTCAAAAAAGGGAACCATTTCTATGTACCCTTTGAAATCCCAGGTTTCAGGAAAAAAAAAATGTTTGAAGAGTAAAATTTTTGTGGTTTTTTTAAATCAATAGTAAGGCATGGGTCCCGAGGGAAAATTTTTTGTCGAGGGTTCAATGAAGGTTTGGCCCCAGGGAAGGAATCTCCTGGAAAAGAAAATTTGGGTCTCAAGTGCCCGCTAGTAATGGACAAGCACTGTATCCTCCAAACTTGGATACCTAATTTTTGAGGGGTTTGGGTTCACACAGTAAAGTTCTTGCCCCCCAATACCACTCCCCTTCCCGCCCCTGGCCACCGGTCATTGCAACTTTTTAAAAAAATTACACAAAAGCAAAAGTTTCACAGGTGCTTTACTGTGACCACAGACACTCACTTGACCCTAAGGGAATTTTGGAGAGAACACTTCAGCATCCTCCATAGGATGCTTTTGGGGGGAGTGCTCCAGGACTTTGAAACCCGCCGGAGAAAATTGTGGCCAATTGTGTCGAAAGAGGGATTTTGAAGGGTTTGGGGCTGACCCTGATGAGCCAAAGTTGTTTAAAATCAATTGTGGGGACTGGGGGGTTCCAGGGATTGGATTGAGTTTGGGGGATGGGAAGATTGGTGGAAGACCCCAAGAAAGCTCCACTGAGGAGTGCAAGGCTTTTGAGGAAGACAAACATAGCACTCAAAACTTGCGCGGGGGGAGGAGGAAGAAGATGGAAAAAGGTTTTCTCCAGAAATTAGAGAGATTTTTACTATGTGAGGTAAAATGGAAAACTTTATGGAGAAACTCACCCCAAAAGGTTTTGCAAGCCGGTTGGGAACATGTCAGTGAAAAGTCTTGGGCCCTTTAGGGAAGGTAAAAAGGCCGAAACAGAGCTCTCTCCACAGTTATTTTGTGAGACAGGACTCCATTGACTCTCAAGGTGGTCCTAGTGGCATTAAGAAACAGAGAAGACAAGCAACCCCAGAAAAGCAATTGGTACCTGAGGTGTTGATGGAAGGGAATTCCCCTTCCAAACTATAAACAATCCACTCTCTCTCCTACTCCAGTCTCCCATACACTAAGAAGAATCTCCAATAAAGGTAAGTGTTATGCTGTTAATGTTTCATTCATCATTTCCCATTGTATTGTTTATGTACTACATGTATATTTCATGTAAAAAATTTTTTTGTTTTAATACTTCTGGGTGTCAGTAGAAGATTTGTTGCCTTACGCGACTTCCACATGTTAGAACTTTTTCCTCGCCTATTCTTCTTATACTCCTTGACTATAAGTCTTGGTATGGGGGAGTGTGAGGGAAAAGTTCAATAGATAGGAGTAGCGAGGGAGTATATAGTAACAATAGTTTCATTGCCGGCTACTTGTTAAGGTAGGGTAAGTCCAGCTCCCGCTATTCCCCCTCCCCGAAAATGATAGTTTGATTGCCAGATGCTTGTTAAGGTAGGGTCAGTCCAGCTCCTGCTATTCCCCCCCCCCCCCGAAAGGTGACGTGTGGGGCTCTGGTCAAACAGTAAATCACTCGACTCACAGCTCCCCAACACTACTGTAAGTACACGCCTGATTATATTTTAGTGGACTTATTGGTTGAAAGCTTCACTTTTGACCAATAATTAACTTAGTCCTTTCAGTCTGGATAGGTTAAATGTTTTAATAATCACCACATCTTTTAGGTATTGTACTTATCAATGGTCACGTTTTCAATTGCATTTGTAAAAATATCACTATGTACAGCAGACTAATAGTGGTGAGGTGGTATCCATTTAAATGGAAATCCCTTTCCCATGAAATTCAGGGATTCAGGAAAACCAGCAGGCTGGCACTCTGAAGGACAGGTATTAATGTTGCAGTTTCATAACTGTAGTGTAAGCATGCCTCTGGCAAGACAGTGATGGAGTGAATGATGATGGAATTTTTTCTTTTTCGAGCCACCCTGCCTTGGTGGGAAACAGCCGCTGTAATAAAAAAAAGTATGATTACTATTATTATTTAATAATCGAAAGATTTTCTCCTACTCCCCTACATCAGATTTCTGGGAGTTTCAACCAAGTACAAAAACCTTTGAACAAAGAAATTGTACGAAAGAAGAGCTACCCTCTCTTTCCTTAGAGATCATGCCTGATTGAGCCAGTAATGACCTGTAAACTTTGTCACAGTACAGTACAAGTGATAGTTTCAAGAGTAGCTTGACCAGCATAAGATGGAAGAGTTGTGATGACCTTCATAAAAAGAATGAACCAGCATACACTGGAGGTGAGGCTGCTCTATTGAGATTATTCTGTAATTATGATTTATGTAATGAAAGTAAATTAGTCACAAAGAGTAGAAAGTTGATATTGATTATGCAAATTTAATATACATACTATAATGTTAGAAATGGAATATATTTAAAGTAGGTTTGTAATAGGTGCTAGTAGTTTCATTCTTATGTGATGTATTGACTGTGTACTTGCATATGCATTTACCTGTATATGGTTACAAGGGTTGAGTCTTAGCTCCTGGCCATGCCTTTCTACTTGCCACTTGCTTGGTTCACCATTTTGTAGACTTGTAGGCCCAGTTACACTTCTTAAAACTGTATGGAGCCTGTCTCCCTCCATCACAATTTGTCTAGATCATTCACTCCTGACTATCCTGAGGCTGTAGGTGTACTTCCTGATATCCCTGTAACTCAACTGTGCTCCTGTGTACTTGTTTCCTCACCTTTCTTCCAGTCTACCCTATCAGTTCCTCTGACTGTTTTGTACATTGTCTTTCCTGGTTCTTCTGTCCACTAATGTCAGGTTCAGTTTCTTGAGCCTCTCACCATAGCTCCTACCCCTTAGCCCTGGAATTAAAATGTGCGTGCATGCATGCATGCATGCATATGTATGCACGTGTACAAGAAGTCGAGTGAATATAGGTTAAAAGTTTCAAGTTTAGGTTGGATAAGTACATGAATGAGAGGGGTTGGATTTGAGTGGGACTTGCACATGAGTAAAGAGATTTGTCAGAGCTTATTGTTAGGGTAGCACTGAAAGTGGGTTGGGCAAATGTTCTGTTAGTGGGTTGGTTTTGTAAAGGACCTGCCAAGTATGGGCCAACAGGCCTACTGCAGTCTTCCTCCTTTCTTATGTTCTTGTAAGTGACACCACTATTAGAAGACACCACACTACCAGGGAGCATTGCAGGTAGCTTTAAAGATTATGCAGTACATTATTTCCAATATATTACCCACTTTTAACTTGGGCACACCTGACCTTGCACTATATACATTGATGCTTGTTGTCTTGTTTGTATTAGAACTTGAGCCACTTGTAACAAAATGTTTTCTTGATAAATGTCTTCAATCAGTGCATACATTGGCCTTTTACCTACAACTTGTCAGTGGGACCACACCAGTTCTACACTGAAGCTTAGATGGTGGGATACCTTTAATAACTAGACTTCACCCACTGTAGGTATAAAATGCTGTCATAGTAAACATGTCTGCTGCATTAAAGTGTCATTTACTCGCACATATTGATATGTGTGTTTACATATCTTTACCATTTAACTGTTTTTGATGCTGAGGAGTTATTGACCCAAGGAAATGAGGGGCTACTCTTCCCTGCCTTGGATCAAACCCAAATACCATCCATTCCTGTAGCTACTCTGTCCCCTACCTTTCAAGGGAGGTGTGCCTTGATGCTAGTGAAGGGCTCTTGATCCAAAAGTTTGGAGCCACCCTCCCTTGTGTCAAATTTGACTGCCCCCTCATTCCCCAAGGGGCTGTACGACCTCTTTCAATTTAGCACTTCCCCATGAATAATATACATGTAATATTAATATAAATACTGAGGAGGACACCATGAGTATAGCTCTATTATATACAGACAAAATAAAAAAAAAGTCATTATTTCATGATGGTTAATGGGGAGTTAAAGCTTATCAACTAAATACGATACTGAGGTTGCATATAACCTGTTCACCAGTCAAGAATATTTTAATACCTTAAAAAGAAATGTGTAACCTCTGTATGTATACCAATTGGCCAACACCTCTACATATATGTTCTTGATGGAGGTCATACAATGATTACAATATTTTCTTTCCAGTCATCCAGTGTGGGTTTAAGCCAGCTATTATCATTATAATCAAAAGAGCTAAGTCAACTGTTTCTCCAGCACAGAAAGGCGTAAGTCACGTGTTCCTCTTTGAAGTATTGTCTCCAATCCCACCACTGCCACCAATTTGTCATGTGGGGGTTCGTATGCTAGAATTGGGTAAATTCACACACTTCAGACAGCTGGTAACTTCTTATTATGGGCACTAAGGAAGGAACTGCCAAGCCTGACCTGCCGTCTCTGCTATCAACTAACCATTATCGTGCCCGGAGGGTGAGCGACATTTAAACATGTTTGGTCAGCAGAATGACTCGATAACAGTCAGTGATCACATAAGGGGGGATGGTGAATCAGTAACGGTTGGTATGATTCACTATGGCACTACTGGTAACTGATACTACTGAGAATTGTGTGTCAAGTTTACAGATAATATGGGGGTAAACTGCAGATACAAATAAATGTTAAATAAATAAATTTTATTACATTGACAAAAATGAAGTCATGATAATTGTACAATATATACAGCAGAATATTTACATAACAATGTAAGAAGTTAAGAGAGGAGTAATATACATGATGCAACTCTGAAGTTGTGCTACCATAGTACACGTAATTATCAAATGGTTGTCAACACAACAAACAGCCATCTTGCTCTACTCATAGCATCTATCATGGCAACCATTACCCGGACAACTATTTTTTGCATCACACTACTAACAGCAACCATCAGTTACTAATACCCATGGCATTAATTGCTGTTGCCACTAGCTGCAGGTGTGGTTGTACTTGCTGGCATAGTAGCCACAACTGGTTCCATCATGGAGAGGAATAACACAAAAAACATTCAGGAGAGTGACCGCAGCTCTGGGCGCACGTACAGGCCAGCACGCCAGTGCTAGTGTGGCACTGATGTGGAAAGCCAGTTTCGTGTATAAAATAAATGTAGATGCATGTAGAGTTTGAAGGCTTGTACTGAGCTGGGCACCAAGACTTAAGTTAATAAGCAGTTGAGTTATGAGGATGTAAACGCCACAGTGACGTGGCAGTACACTCTAATTGTATATATTTACTCTGATGGCAAAAATATAACTATTAGACTATATTGTGCCAACTCTTTTGCCCTAGTAACAGTTTTGGTATACTAGGCTAATCCGGGCATTCTATTTTCTTGCCAAGAATTCTTCAAGCATATAGAGAACATTGATTGTAATGAGTGACGGTAAGTTACACTCTGCACTAACCATCTAGTACTGATAACCTTGACTTATAACAGGTCAATATCTGGAAGTAGAAAGGCAGTGCACTCTAAATCTACAACCATCCAGTTTCTAGCATGAGAGCAATGATATGAAGGTACAATACAGTACTGTATATACACCAAAAACTGGCACACACTTTGCAGTTAATGCCACTAATATTTTTTGATCATCAGAAGTCACTAGACCTGCACTACATGGATGCATTGTACAATGCTGAGATACATTGCAAAAAAATTAAATTAATTTTTGGTATATGAATATTTAAATAACAAAAAAGCTTAAATTCTGAATTGATTGCAACAACAGCTGAAAAAAACACCAAATATTCTATAACTGGTATACCGTAATTTTAATTTTTTAACATAATAAATACCTTTATACATTAGTTTCCATTATAATTCAAAATTGCAAAAATGTTTGAGATGAGAAATACTTACCTTAAAAAACAATAAGTTTATAGCCCACTAATGAATATGTTGAACTGTCGAATATCACAATGCACTCATTTACCACCAAGCAAACAGCCAGTGCAGTCACTCTTCAAAACACAATAGATATATATACCTGCTTCACCAAGTAACATTGACTCCCCATAATAACTCTCAATCCATATTAATATTCCCAACACCATACAGTATGTATATTCCTACTGCTACATTTAAATTTATCCATACTGTGCAGTACTGGGACTTATAATGGATAGAAAACTAAAGGCTTCAGGCCTACACCAATTACATGGCCGACCAGGATTTGCATTTAAAAAGAGTGCATCAATTTTTAAAGGGCACTGCCTTAAACAATTAATGATCAGTCATGTTAAACTGTCCTGTTCAAGAACAGACTCAAAGAATGAAATTTACCAATGCAGACATGTATTTGAGAAGTATGAACATGGCTTCCCATAAGACAGTGAGGTACTCCAGGTTTTCAAACATCTTAATACTTTACAGTTTCCTCTCCCACATTTTCTGCTCTGAACTAACCCATTACTTGAGATCACAGATACAGTTCATACACACGAGAGAAATAAAAGTGCGAAACACAAATTTTTCTACACCAAGGATATTATTTTGTTATTGTGTTTTTTGGTCTTGTGAAATTTCAAAATAGAAAAAATCCAGCAACTTTGAATTCCAGTTTATCATTTGTCGGAGTCTCCTGTTTCTCATTAGAATATACCTCACATAAGCTGAGCATAACGCAGTGCACAGCATACAGGGTCTAAAATCTTCACTGGGGCTCGGTAGTTTAACTCCTTAGCAGAACTCTAAGCAGGTAAAATCCAAGGCACCATCTTTTCCTGCACCAAGCCCCACACTGTCACATGCTAATCCTGCAGCCAAATGCAGTAACAAAGGAGCAAAGGCACCATTCATAGGGCCTTTACCGCAAAAATCTGGAGTAAAATATGAAGTCGATGCCTTTTACCACGGGCAGTCAACACTATGTTAACATCAACGCCGTGTATCCCGGCTATCTTCAGTCATATCTTGGTTCAAAGGTTTTGCACCCATTCTCAGGTCCCAAGTGAGCTTAGAAGTAGAGATCAGCATTGAAGGGATTATTGTCATTAACAGGAACAGGCATGGCCATAGGCACTGGCACTCCTCCAATCCGGAGGTCATCCACTGGGCCCCAGCCATTAGTACTCTCCGCTGCGCCACTGACCTGCAGGGAAAAAATCAATTATAATTAATTACTGTATACTGCATAAGTACAATATACTGCACGAGTACAACCCTTTGTTTACCATCAGATTTTCTGGTCAATACAAATAGGAGTCATAAAATACTTAAATGGAATAGCTACAACAGAATAAAAAATGTATATAACACAGTGCCCCATATTGTTCTCATTTTCCCCTAATCATTCCCACATTCATCTATATGACTTGTGGGTTTAGTACTTAGTTCTGATTATATTATTATAACAATCAATCTCCTCTTATTCATTATTCCATCCATAATAATACTGTATTTCTACATGATACATAGTACGTATTTGCAAAACTGGACGACATACATGTGGAAAGATGGTTAAACAGAGCATGTCTTCCTTGCCAGTTCTCCCTTACCCTGTACTGAAGTTTGTATATTAATACAATGCTGACCCCTCAAGGAAGGTTCCTTGATGCTGGTGAGGGGCTCTTGATTTAGGGAATTGGATCTGTGCTCCAGTTCCCCGAATTAAGCCTGAATGCCTTCCACATCCCCCCCCCAGGCGCTGTATAATCCTCCGGGTTTAGCGCTTCCCCCTTGATTATAATAATAATAATAATACAATGCTGTACTTAACCATATGAACCTATACAGTGTTGCAGCAACACTATACCATTTTCACTAAGTACATACATGTATATTAAAAAAAATATTACTACCAGAACTTTTTAGTGCAAGTATCCAATACAAAGCACTAAAAAAAAAAAAAGGCTGGATTATATACAGTCAACTCTACAAATTCTTGGGACCTCGAGGTCAGGAGAAACCACAAAAACAAATTCCAGTACTCGCTAGAGTGGAGGAGAGATACATACTCGAGGGCCTAGTCCCAAATCTGCACACTGCCATAACATACTGGAGCAAGATTTATGGAAGGAAGTGCATAGTAAACCCAGTGAAAAGCAGGGGTGCAGTGGGCACAATAAGGAAATATGAATAATCTGGGGCCACAAATGTTGATTCAACATGTTACCAGAAGATATCAGAAACACTGCTGGGACAAGTGTAAAAGTCTTCAGGAGGAAACTGGATAAGTATCTCCAGGTGCCTAATCAACCAGGCAGTGATCGATGCGTGTGTCAGCAGGACACCAGCAGCCACAATTTGGTTGACCAGGCTAGCACCAGACAAGCCTGGCCCATGGCCGGGCTCTGATTATTATTATTATTATAATAAAAGGGGAAGCGCTAAACCCGTAGGATTATACAGCGCCGGGGGGGGGGATGTGGAAGGCATTCAGGCTTAATTCGGGGAACTGGAGCACAGTTCCAATTCCCTAAATCAAGAGCCCCTCACCAACATCAAGGAACCTTCCATGAGGGGGCCGGGCTCAGAGTAGAGTAGACCTTTGAAACTCATCAAATGTATATCACAGCGTTAAGTCCACAGACCACAAGGTCACAACATGGTAGTCCCCGGGTCCCATCATGGTAGTCCCCAGATCACAACATGGTAGTCCTCAGGTCACAACATAATAGTCCCCAGGCCACAATATGGTAGTCTAGATAGATAGTCCCCAGATCAACATGGTAGTCCCCAGGTCACATGATAGTCCCCAGGTCACAGCGTGTATAACCCAGATGAACATGGTAGTCCCAAGGTGAGCTTCATAATAAACTCCAGCATAATATTTACACTACAGGAATTCCCAGTGCAGGAATGTTGCAGCGTCGCCACCAGACAGAGTGGCACCCGTCTAATGCAACAGTGCCACGTATCTTACCACCACTATCAATCACAACAGCAGTGCCGAATGCAACACACACGGTGCCCAAAAACAGTAAGCCTTTACAACATATAGCATATTGTCCTCTTGTTCCGTGTGTGTGTGTGTGTGATGTGAGGAACAGCGCCACGGAGCACATCTGGCACCACTCTTCTGGGAATTCCAGAGTGTTAGCTTGTCTGGAATGTGTGCCAACCTACTGCAACAAGGACGCCCTCTGGGAGGTGAAATATCATTTTCTCGTGCATTCTGCTGTCAGAACGGTGGTGGAAGTGTACAATGGGTGGGGGAAGGGAGGTGGCGGGTCAGTATGTCAGTGTTGGTCGCTGTGTTAGCTGTCAAAGTACTGGTTGGTATATATGTTGGCTCTACACACAAGCGACCATTGTCATCAACACTGCTACGCTACTTGTACTCTAGTGTCTGGCCCTGTGTTAGAGTGTGTGTGTGTGTGTGTACTCACCTAGTTGAGGTTGCAGGGGTCGAGTCCGAGTGTGTGTGTACTCACCTAGTTGTGGTTGCAGGGGTCGAATCATAGCTCCTGGCCCCGCCTTTTCACTGGCCGCTACTGGGTCACTCTCCCTGCACCATGAGCTTTATCATATCTCTTCTTAAAGCTATGAATGGATCCTGCCTCCACTACATCGCTTCCCAAACTATTCCACTTCCTGACAACTCTGTGACTGAAGAAATACTTCCTAACATCTCTGTGATTCATCTGAGTCTTCAGCTTCCAACTGTGTCCCCTTCCTGTGTCCCATCTCGAACATTCTGTTTCTGTCCACCTTGTCAATTCCTCTCAGTATTTTATATGTCGTTATCGTGTCCCCCCCTATCTCTCTTGTCCTCCAGTGTCGTCAGGTCGATTTCCTTTAATCTATCCTCGTAGGACATGCCCCTTAGCTCTGGGACTAGTCTTGTTGCAAACCTTTGCACTTTCTCTAGTTTGTGTGTACGTACGTACCTAATTGTGGTTGCAGGGGTCGAGACTCAGCTCCTGGCCCCGCCTCTTCACTGATCGCTACTAGGTCACTCTCCCCGAGCCGTGAGCTTTATCATACCTCTGCTTAAAGCTATGTATGGATCCTGCCTCCACTACATCGCTTCCCAAACTATTCCACTTACTGACTACTCTGTGGCTGAAGAAATACTTCCTAACATCCCTGTGATTCATCTGTGTGTGTGTGTGTGTGTGTGTGTCTGTCTGTCTGTACATGTACGTACATATACCCCCCCTCTT